AAAAATACATTTTCTTTCCCAATTTTGTTTTAAAATCTAATTTAGAATTCTCTAACTCGATCTCTCAAGTTGAAAAGTCAGAGAGACTTAGAGATGAATAGGGCTTCAAATTCATCTGGTTCAACCAGTTTCTATTGATAGGTAAACTGAGGCCTGAGAGATCAACTGATTTTCCCAAGATCACACCATCTGATAAAGGAAGAGCTAGGAATGGTAACAGTCTCCTCACTCTCAATCCAGTGCTTTTTCTATAATGCTGTGTAAAATTTTGAAAATCACATTGTAAATAGATCATATAGCAGTTTTTTCTTTTTTTTAACTATATTTGGTCAGTCAGAAAAAAGTCTTTAAATAAAGAAATATCATTGATATTGATCTTTTATTCACCCTGGCTATTTCAATTATTAATTTAAATTTCCATATACTTTGTGTATTGGAAATGTGTAGTAGTCATTACTACCTCAATTTATAATACACTGTGAAATCTCAAATGAAACTTGTGGGGCCGGCCCGGTGGCGCACTGGATAGTGCGCTGCTTGGGAAGCGCGGCGGCGCTCCTGCCCGAGGGTTCAGATCCCACATACAGACCGGTTCCCGCTCACTGGCTGAGCGAGGCGCGGGAGCAACACCGAGGGTTGCGATCCCGTTGCCGGTCCCCGGTCCGGTACGGGGGCAACACTGAGGGTTGCGATCCGTTGCCGGACACGGAAAAAGACAAAAGACAAAAAAAAAAAAAAAAAAAGAAACTTGTGGCTGTAGGTAAAGGTTTATAGAAGTGACTCTGTTCAGAGTAGGAAAACTATAAGCTGGACTGTTTTAGATTGTTCAGCAACTGTTTTTCAGTTTAGGCTAATCTAGCCTGGGATGCTTAAGCTACCTTGGAATTGCCTTAATAGTTTTCCATTATAGTGGATCAAAGAAAGGCTCATTTGAGGCCTCACTGCTCCCTTTATGCCCTGTCTTTCTCCTAGGAGTGAAGTGCAACCAGTGGTCCGAGGAGGCTTCGATGGTATTTCGAAATCATGTGGAGAAGAAACCTTTAGTGGCATTGGTGCAGACAGTTATTGAAAATGCCAACCCTTGGGACCGGAAAGTGGTAGTCTATTTAGTGGATACATCGCTGCCAGACACTGATATCTGGATTCATGATTTTATGTCAGAGTATCTGGTAGAGTTTTCGAAAGTTAATTAATCACTGCTTCTGAGACCTTGACAACTAATTCAAATTTTTTAGCAATAACAAAGTGTAGTAGGCTTTAAAAAAAATCTTATCTCTGCTACATGCCTGTGACTGCTGTGGGGGATTGAAAAGAGTATGCTTATATTTGGTGAAAGATATTTAACAAGTTTTCTTTTAATAGAATTGACTTTTCAAAGAAAATTGCACTTGAATTATTACTGTAATATTAGAATAAAAATTTTATCAATATAAAAACTGACTACCTTGTAATTTCTAGGCTTTACGATCTTTTTTTTTTTTTAAAGGATGACTGGTAAGGGGATCTGAACCCTTGGCTTGTTGTTGTCAGCACCACACTCAGCCAGTGAGCCAACCGGCCATCCGCATATAGGATCCAAACACGTGGCGTTGGTGTTCTCAGCACCGCACTCTCCTGAGTGAGCCACAGGCTGGCCCTGGCTTTATGATCTTAAGATGAAAGTTTTCTTTTTCATTCATGTTATCTTCTTTGCAGTGCTGGATTCTTCTCCAATTAAATTGGGAATTTCGTGACTTAACTCTACCCTGATGTAGTGGTATGTCCCAAAGCAAGTGATCACAAAAGCATGTGAAGAGTTACCCTGAGTCTCTAGCATATCAGCATTGCCATAGGAGCAGCCCAGGCAAACCAGCATGCCCGTCACTCCAAATCTTGAGTGGTTTCTCTTTGCCCAGAGAGTCCAGTCCTAAGACCCAGCCCTTCCACAATCCCCTTCCTCAGCCTCATTGTCAACCATTCCCTAGTCCAGCCATGCTGGACCTTTATCTGGTCCCTGAACCCCATGCCTGTTCATCTAGCACTACTGGTATTCTAAATCAAGCCTTGTTCCCCTCCAAACCTTACTTATTCTGTTCCCTCAGCTTGCAACTCATTCTCCCACCACGGTTTTTGCTTGTCAGTATCCTGCTTGACCTCCTGAGTGGACCTTAAGCCTTCCCTGGCGCCCATTTCTACTCCATTGTGCTTTGATTATGCCTCTCTTGGCACCCATATCTCACTCTGCTTTGTAGTATATAACTAATTCACTATGCACCACTCACCCCAACTAGATCATGAGCCCTTTGAGGGAGAGATGAGTCTTAGTCATCTCTTTATCCATTGATGTAAATGTTTGACAACTGATTCTGGTGGATGGGAGGGGGAGGTAAGCCTTGATTTGTAGTGTCTGACAATTCCCATCTTGTAAATAGTCCCACCGTTGTTGATTTCCAGCTAACAGTGTCAGTGTTACATCACTGAATGGGCAGCTGGGAAGATAGGGACGTAAGAGGCTCTTACTACCCAGTATGATGGTCTCCAGGACACCACTGTGTATCATCTGCCGTAGGCAGAATGACATCTTGCATATGTCAGGCACTTACTGTGTGCTTGCTAACTGGTGGGCAAATGGATTGGCAGACAGGTTGTAGGCTTTAGCGTGGTCCAAAGATGAGGTGGGGAGGCCCTGGACTAAGAGTGGAGGAATGGGAATGAAGAAAAAATATTGAAGACTTTTTGAAGCTTTTAACTCGAGTTATTAGAACAGACAGATTAGACACAGAAGATAGGGAGAAAAGTGAAGCCAGGTCTTAAGGTCTGAGGGGCTACAACGATCATCCTTACTCAGTTTGAGTGGGAAGTTTAAAAGTTTGACTTTGAATATACTGAATTTGAGCTGATAGTTAGACCTCCATGTGAAGATGTGCATAAACTATTGGAAATATGGAGTGGACATCGGGGGAGAAAACCATGCTGGAGATAAAAATTCTTAAAGTCTTTTGTTTGAGAAAATCAAGGAAAAATGAGAAAAAAAAGTGAGATAAAAGCCAGATGTTTTAAGTTTTTCATTTTAAACATGCAAAAATAATCTCTCTAGCTTTTTAAAATTTATATTTAATATTTACTACTAAAATGATTGAACATTCAGAATACTTGTGCCAGTGATTAAAATAATCATTTATGATGAAATAAAAATATCTTGACACAAATGTTTAAGTGAAATAAAGTAGTGTAAATGTTCTTTTTTAAAAATATATGGTTTCTTTCCCTTAAAAAAAAAAATCCTCAAATTGTCTACAAGTAAGGAAGTGGTGGTTTCTATTTCACTGACATTAGAAATGTTTCCATTATTTTTTAAAATAAAGCAGTTGTGTTTGTTGATGTAATTGAAAAATTAATGTGGTGTTGGGACAGTGTGACAGACAAATGAAGTGTGACCCCTACCTAATACCATGTTTGAAAGTCATTTCAAAGAGGATTGAAAACCTAAACGTGAAGACTAAGGTAGGTAGATAACATAGGCAAATAAATACCTTTATAATCCAGGACTAGGAAAGAGTCCTTAAACAGGACACACGAAGTGCTACCAATAAAGGAAAAGATTGATATGCTAGACTGCATTAAAACTAAGAACACCTTTTCATCAAAAGATGTTTATTAAGGTGAAAAGGCAAAATACAGAGTGAAAGGAGATAGTTGAGTACATTTTAGAGGGGGAGAGAGAGAGAATATTGAATATATTCAATAAACAAGGCTGTCTAGAAGAAAAAATGGGCAATAAAATTGAGCAGACACATCAAAAAAGAAGAAATCCAATTGGCCAATAAACATGAAAAGGTACTCAACCCATTAGGACATGAAAAAATGCAAGTTCAAACCTCAATGAGATAGCATTACTCATGTACCAGAATGGGTAAGTTTGTTTTCGTTAATTCCAAATGGTGTTGAAGATGTGAAACTGCTGTGTAAAATGGTACAATGGCTTTGGAAGAGTTCGACCTCATGTCTCCTAAAGTTGAGGTTAGGTGTACTCTAGGACCCAGCACTTGGAACAGCAGAGCGTACACTTGTACAAGAGGATGCTGGAGAAGAATGTTCACAGCAGCACTGTTCGTAATAGCCCAAACCTGGAAACAACGTACATGTCCATTAACAGTAAAATGGTAAAACAGAGTTTTTAAAAAAAACTCTGGTATATTCATACAATGGAATACTCTACAGCAATGGGAACAAATATTGCATGAAACATCACTGATCTCTGGTACGACACAGTGTTGAGTAAATGACACTACAGAGGGAAGAGGAGAGCAAGGATGTGATTACGGGTCAAGAAAGTGATCACCATTAAGAGAGGGCTGTGACCCAGAAGGGACAGGTTGGCTTCTGGGCTGCTAGCAAGTTTTCCTGAGTGGTGGTTGCACAAGTGTTCGACCTTGTGAAAAAAAACTCATGAAGCTGTACATTTATGTTGTATGCACGTAAATGTTTGACTCCACTACAAAAATGTTTAAATAATCTGAAATATTAAATCATTGCTTTATTTAAAAATTTGTGGCTCATACCCCTTGAAAAGAGTATTCTTTTACAGCTGTGAGGGTTTTATAAAAGAAACACATCTACATGAAAAACAAGATTTTTTAAAATGAGTGTTTCTCAGTTATTTATACTTAAGGATCAAAGAGTTGATTTTATTAGGGTCCACCCCACCAAAAACTTTCCCATAATCAAAATGAGACATGTCCCTATATTTGTATGAGCCATTTGTTTATTAAAACGCTTAAAGTTTCTGTTTGGGTTTAAGTGGTTTAGCCTTCGAAGAACCTGGGACTCTGGGTCATTTTAAGTCGTTATTTTGGACACTCCACTGGTATAGAGAGAATGCATTCGACTCGGTGTTGGAACTATATGTTCCCCCAGATGATCAAAGCTTCACCTCAGAGCGGACTAACTAGGCTGCGAGAAGATGGGACGCACCGTTGCTTCAATCCGAGGAGGCAAAAGGCGCAGCGCGCTCAGCGGGCTCCGGCCCATCACTGAGGGCCGCCGTCCTCAACGTCTTACCTTCTAGACCTGCAGGAACTCTGCCGTCGCTTAACTCTTCCTGGGACACGTGGGAAAACCGAGACTCAGAAAAGGCGACGCGC